GGTATAATATATTACACACATAAATCAGCCTGAATAATTGAATGTAAAACAGTTATATTTTCGTATAGATTTAATTTTTCAATAACGTTTTTTTCGACGAATTAACACAAAAACAGCTCTTAAGTATTATATTTTCATCATTTTTCATCATCCTTCATTTCGAAGGTGAAATGTCTATCCAATTTTGAATATTAAATCGGAAACTATAGTAATATTTCATAAATAAATGGAGTAATTAGTTTATATACATTTTGCTATTTATTTCCACTAACGAGATAATTTACTTTTCAATTCAATCCCATATAAATATGGGAGAATATAGCGGAGTATCATTTGCGTGGCATTTGAACAGTGTCCAGCACCGTATGTACATACTCGTATACATGGAAAAGAATCCGCTCACGATGAGATATCAGATATAATAATATTCTTATATTGCTCATATACATAGTGTTCATGAAATATTAAACGTAAGGATAGATTTAAAACGTATAAAACAGGACTATTAAAACAATTAAACAGTCTTCAAATAAAAAAAATTTAAACTATTTTGAAAGAAACTATTCACGAATTGAAGCAGTGGCGAAACGAACATAAACGAACCCGAAATCTGGTATTATTTCGTGGTCTTGTTTTATACAAAATCGTTTGTTTTGTTTATCATTTTTGGGGGTAAATGTTATAAGGATTATAAAACCACAACCCGATAACTTTACTACGTCTAAAAAAAACATTATAAGTTAATAGAAATATAAGTTTTCTGTCCAAATATCAAGTCTCTACGTATATTTTAAACTGAATTACAACAAAAAACATAATTTAAAATAATAAAAGCATTATTTTCGTAAATTGTCACGTTCTGTTCGCGTTTTATTTTCGGTTCTGCTCAATTATTAAAAAAACTACATAGAAAATCAAAATAACGACTTCTTACTCACCATCTAGTATAGAAATTCCATATCAATGATCTTTTGTAGTTTTATTAATGAAGCAATATTACTAGAAGAAAACATAAGTTACACACATTTGGGTGTAAGAAATCGTTAAGATGTAAATATTTATCCATTTATTCCTACGTTTTTTCCTGGTTTTTCCAAATTATTATGAAAATCTCTTGGAAAACCATAGAAAGAACATCTTAAGTACTACATAATATTTTCTTTTGGAAAAAATGCTATTCTTGATACTTTGGAGAACGATTTTCGGTAGAAATTGTGTATATAGTTAAAAAAAAAACGCCATTGTGCAACGAATACATTTCTTGCTTCGCTCAAAATCTAAAATACGTTTACTTAACTAATAGGAGAATTAGCCGATTATTTTAAGTAATGTCTAAGCTAAAGCACAATCGTTCGATCAAAAAAAAAAAAGAAAATACAACGTTTAGATATCATTCGATATCCAAATAATTGAAATGGAATCGTTGCTCGTAAATTCATTGGTGAGTTGCAAGTGTTCTCAATCGTTTAGCCAAAAAAATAAAACGGTCTCAATCGTTTGATAGCTCTATAATCTACGCTCTTTTCTTCATTATTTCCTAAAATTTTTATCAAATTCATAATAAACGTACATTCATACTTGGTTATTTGCAATTGATCATCCATTAATGAACCCAAAAAAAGAATCGTCCAAAAGAAAGTGATATCAAAATTTCGCCATATCTACTGCCAACTATTGAAATTGTTTTTTGGTCAGGACGCCTCCGATTTTCGAGGTTTGAGTTACCGGCCTAGACGGGATACGATCAGTTCAATAGAATATAGAAAAAAAAAAAAAAAAATCTTGGGACACAGCCTAAAATATTCCAACACTGCTTCGTCCGGGGACCTCTGGCAACTTCCGTTCGCTCGCAGTGACATCCCGTGCGTCGGAACTCAAGCCCATAACCCTTTAGAAGGGCTGTCTACCTATACGCAAAGCCGTTGTTCGGTCGGACGGGCAAAATCGTTTTGGCTTATGCCGCGGGTTTCGGTTTTTCCGTTGACGCGGGGGAACGGCCGACCCCGCGGTCAGCTAGACGACGAGCTCCGACGAGTGACGCGTCGCGAGGTCTATCGATAGCATTTGCGCGCCGGCCTCCGGATTCGAACGGGATCACAGTCGGCGGTACGTGGGGCGGAGGGGGATGGGAGGGGGGGGGGCGGCCGGGCAAGCGTTCGGCGAGACGGAGCGCGGTAATAATAATTCTCGAGTTGAATAATTTGCCGCTACGCAGAGACGGTAACCGACGGCATTAGCGTCGTCGCTAGGCGTTCTGCGACCGTTTGATAAATTAAGGATCCGCGCGGCCCCGGGATAATTTATGTTCGCGAATGTGCCACCGACAGCTGCACCGGTGTATAGCGCGTTGCCCACGGTGGTGGACTGCGAGTCGTCGGTACCTATACACGTATACACGTATACCTGTATTATTTATTAGCCGGCCTGCCCGTGCCCCTGTCCCGGTCCACTAAACGTGTATACAGACGGCGCGTGTACGTGTACGCGCGCGCGCGCCGCCCCGCCGCCGCCCGGCGTTTCCGGCCGTAAGAGGATCATGTCCGGTTTGCACTTAATGGGCGACGGGCCAGGAATCCCCGCTTTATTTACGCAGATTAGACGTCCCGTGCAGATGCGGACGTTCGCATACAAACTCTACTTGTTCGTCCTAATTAAACGCGGTGCCGAGTCGATACAATCGGCCGGCGGCGGCCCCGTTTCTTATTGTGACGGCGGCGGCGGTGGCGGCGAGCGCGCGCAGCCGACAGCGACGCGCCGCGTAAATAATTACCACGATAATAACAATCATAACCATCGTCGCGGGGCGGGCAACCGTTGCGATAGACGCCGCGCGGATAGGCGTTCTTACGGTTCCGCCGGGCGGCCGCGGCCGACGTTTTATCGAGTGTCCCCCACCCCCCTCCCTCCCGTTCCCCGGACAGTGTCCGGACGCACGGACGTCTGCGATTTATATGTCCGGATGTCGAGACGTACATGATAATCTCTCCGAAACCGTTTACGTACGGGATCTAAAATTCGTTTGGTTTAGGCGCAGAACGCTCGAATTTTCGACGTTCAAACGCGGGCCAGGATTAACGGGACGGGGGGGGGGGGCGGGGAGATCACGGGAGACCACGTCCCCGAGGTTCGCGAGAAACGTGGGCCCGCGAAAACAATATCACGCTATATCATATGGCTCTTATCGGCTCATATTAAGTCGAAGCTAATGTCGAGACGAGTTGATTCTAATATTTGAGAACCTCATTTTTTTTTATTAGTTACGTTTAAACATATAATACCATGTTTCAAGAGTATAAGTTAAATGGCGACCTCTTGTTTATTTGTTCCGTCTTAATAAAATACAGAATAGCGTTCCCGGGCCCCCCACAACCCTTAATCCGGATCTGTTTAATCGTACACAATTAGATCACACTAATTTACGCGTTGAGCATTTTTTTAATTCAAATAACGATTTTAAAAAGACTATTATAGAGGAACGATGTACTTCCTCAAATACTTTCCTGCGCCTGGTATTCGTTTTGTATACAGTTAAAAAGTAAGTAATTTTTTTCAAGTGTACAAATGTTTTTTTATTTTTGGTATATTCATTTTTTATTATATGGGTATGGGAAAAAAATGAAGTTTTTTATTTTATCATTGGAGAAACGTTATACTACTAACGAGAATGAATATGTAATACTACATTTTACTACACACATTTTGTATTTTACTACTAATTATACGTTAATTGAAATGGACATTGGAGAATAGGTATACAGACGATATTTTAGAAACCCGTCCATATATTTGAAAAATCGAAGACATTTTGTTTTTTTTTTTTTTTTTTTTTAATGGGACGTACAAATGTTTTTTAATCGTCCAGGTTATTGTTAAATTTAGAATTTGTAATAAGATATTTTTATGTTGAATACGGAAAATATTTATATCTTTAAAATACTATATATTCACTTAGAGTGTATTATTATTTTGTGTGTAATTTGAAATAGGAAACTAGAAGATTATTAATATGAAATATCAGGGGCAAGGGAAATGCTTAAATCTGGTTCAGTATGTCAAAGAAACTTCAATCATTTTGAACGTCACCTGTATATAATTTACCAATATATAATTTTAAATTGGGTTATGAATAAATCCGTATCGACATATTCGTTATTAATTTGTTTAAACATTCTGAGCGCGGCGAGAAACTAATTGGTTTTACTATGACAAGAATGATGTTTTTTATAAATGAAATGATTTTCATTTACAGTTTAATAATTATATTTTAACTATTAAGTGTTTAGTGTTTTGTATAGTATTGATAACTATTAAAACGCTCATATCGGAAAAATTTGACTTTAAAACCATTTAATATACTTAACTATTTTATTATTAACTATTCAACACGATGTAAAAATAGATATTTATAACAATTATTAACATTTGAGTGTAGACTAAACACACATTTTTATCAAGTTTAAAAAAAAAAAAAAAAAGAGGCTAGAATTTTTACTGGGATGTATACCTAAATGTTATTAATAATACAATAATAATTTTTTACTGCCACGAAATTTATAAAGATTCGTATTTTTTTTCTATTTATTATATTTTGGTAATTTAGAAACTATATGTGTTTGATTATCATGAAAAAAATGTTCATAATTTTTGTGCCTTTAAGATTGAATGTACATTTCTGATACTGCTTATGGGTTATAGGCAGCTAGTCAGAAGGTTAGACATACAAGGCGATTCGATTTATATGCTGTATGCGACAATAAACAATTATAGTGGACGGAAAAAAATAAAGACGATTTATCGGTTGGTCTATATGGAAATAAACTAACATCAATAGTTTATTTTTAACGTTGGTGTGTTTGTACCTAGGTAACAAATGTTAACTAATATGTAACTTATTGTGTTTATTATTTAAAACGGATAGAACGCAGCATCGAGATTATTGTTTCATTCATGAGACAAATAATGCGAGATATCGTTCAAGAGGTGGACGTAAAGACATACTGATGAGTACATTGAAAGACACAGAAGAAACGGCACGGTCAGACTTACAAGGTACGAGCGGTATAAACAATAAACGCAAATACTGTCCGATTTGTGACGATAACAGTGAAGATGAAGAGATTGATGTAGATGATAGCTTAGCTAGGTAAAAAAAAAAATTCAATAATTATTTTTTTATTTAATTATGAACAAATTAGCGAGTTGATTTGCTTTGGTGCATTTTTTTAAACATTTTTTTGATATGTGTGTCTGATCAATTTTTCTATCAGAGATGTTACTCGAAACAAAACTGTTATAGGATATTCATTGTAACATTTTTAATCTGATTTAGGCGCTAAGAAAAAGATATTTTGATTTTCCTTAGTTTTCTTAATTAAAATGACACACGTTTTTTGTTAGATTTCGTTGGTTCATTGCATACTGGTAAATATTAGATTACTCTACACATCCCCTCTTCTAATTTCCTTTCTAAAAAAAAATGAAAACAGTGACAACATAAGCCTTTTTTTGTTTTTAGAGATTAAAAACGAATAATTGTTTTAATTTACGATAAGAATTATTATAGGTATTGAGAAAAAAATAAAAAGGTTAAATTTATAATGCTGAGATATTATATTAAATATCGAATCGTTGCAATTATATCACCACGGTGAAAACATGTATCTATTTCAAAAAAAAAATGTTTATTATAATAATTATAATAATTAATATTTATAATAGTAGTATTATAATTAATACTACTGACATTATTGTTTTCTGATTACCGTTTTTTATTTTCAAACTAATAGTACAATTAATCGAATTTTAGAAACGAAATGAGTTGATGTTTGTGACACGAGAAATAAATGTACCCGCATGAAATTCTATTTTTGGATTCGAGTTAATATTATTGTTTTTATACATTTTTAAACAAATTTGGAAAAAAATATTATTAATAACCATGCATGAATTTATAAATGACCTGATTTTTTTTCATTCTATAAAATACTTTAAACATTTTAATGAATTACATATATGTCAGTAGAGAACGAGACACCGACGGGGTGGTAAATAATTCTGGTGATCAGGACAAACGACAAAAACATCAAAAAATGACCATAACAGCTCAACGTCGTCAAAACGATTGCGACACTACTGCTGATACCACTCGAAATGTTGATGGACCGCCGCTTTCTGACGATGACAGTGATGTGCTCGAGATTTTTCTAGAAGACCCAATTCCGATAGCCAAGACACGTAATAAGAAAACAAAACCAAAACAAGCTAAACAGCAAAACAGCTACCAAAAAAAGACGAAAAAGCGATCGTCGGTCATTTAGTATTTGTTACCGATCTGCGTAAAAATATACACTGTGATTGAGTAAATTTTGGAGATTTAACTGCATTGTGGTCCGGTTAGCTATGTATTGTTGTTGGCCAAAATATTTTATGATATTAAAAGCATTTATAACGCAATATATTCTGTGCATGGGTGAACATAGAATTATGGATACATTTTTTTTTTTTGCTTAAAAAACGATTCAACCAAATCAAATCTACTTCAATTTCAAAAATATTCTTTTCTCCCTTCCCCCCCCCATTTTAATATCACCCTCAACCTTTTTTGCTCTCACTTACAATTTCCGGCATGCCAAACTGTCGATGATCTGGTATTTAATTAATGATGCAAATATAAAATAAAAATAAATGTAATACCTATATTTAACTGAATCAAATTTAAAGTACGAAACCAGAAACCCCGGTATTATTCCTCTGATTTTGAGAAGGTAATTTGCAAGGTAGATATTGTTATAGTTAGGTACATATATACTTATTCTTTGGCTTATTGTTAAAATAAAACTATATCTGCAGTATACTTAATTTTCTCATAAATATTCGCTTTATTATACGCTTTGTTTTGTACAGTGCGTCGAGGTTATTATTATATTATAATATGATGACCCAAATTACTGCAGATTTCATAAATTGCAATACAATGTAGCACGGTCTGAGCAAAATATAGACAACTCTACGAAGACTATAAAATATCTCGTTGAAAATAAATCTTAATTTCATGAAACTTATTATGTGTAGCTTTTAGATTACGGAATAAAGAAGTTCACAATATAATCGCATCCGTATATTATGCATAGTATATTGATTATTTCAATAGTGAGGAACATTATTTTTTTATTTAATATGAATTACAAAGTCAGAACTGTGCCATGTAATAATAATAATAATTTTCGCGATGAGAGGGGGTTTAGTTGGCATATTTTTCTAAATAACCTCCAGGTGTCCTCCAATTATTTTTCAGTTTAATCTAAACACACTGTTCCATAACTGCTGAAATTGTTGTATTTTGAAAAGAAAATTTAAATTACCTATATTCGAGTACCTGTTGGTAAGACACTTCGAAATAAGTATTTCAATACTCTAGATGCTTTAAACATTTATTTTAGTATCACAATACAAGATTATGTACAAAATATCTTATCGAAGAAACTACTCAATCTTCTATACTAATAAGTAATAATATATTTTTCAGTTTTAGGGTCTAGAACTTGGTAACTCAAAATTCTTGATAACATGCACGAAAAAAAAATGCATATAATTATATAAAATGCTAATAAAAACGTGTTAAAATGCATGTATGCCATACAAAATTATACACACATATAATATTAAGACCGTTTTGTCATACTTAAAATAAATATTCTATCTTTTCGGTTTTTCTTTTTCTAGTTTCTTAAATGTTTGTCAAATTATTTAAACAAAAATAAAATTGAAATATACCTAGAAAAAGTGGACTAATGTTTAAAATATACCGATACTAAAAATACTAAAAAGGAATACCAAAAAAAAAATTCAAAATGAAATTCGCATCGTTGGATTCTGCGTGACAAAAGTCATGTTTCTAAAGAGACAAGTCTCGAATGTAAACAACGGAAACGAAGATGCAAATGCGTCGGGTTTCAGGACCTAGTCGGTAGTGTATCGACAGGTATTGGGGACCCCTGATGACGACGGCGTATACGTGTTATATGTTATGTGTGTATGTATATAAATCATGTGTAGGTACGACGGTGGTGGTGCCGGGCGTGGTTTTCGGAATGAGGACGGTCGGGAATCGGTCGGGAAACACTCGCGAGGCACTGTAAGGAATATAGGACGTGATGGACGGACCGGAGAGGAGAGCGTAGCCCGACGTCGGCGACGTGAAGTTTTCGAGGCGCGAAATCCCGTCGGACACGTGCCGCGTATCGGAAACGTTCTCATGCCGGTAGTACGAGCAGTCGGAGTCGGTTATTTACGAAAAGCGTATCTTTCTCTCACTCTCTCACTCACTCTCTCTCTCTCACACACACACTCTCTCACACACTCTCTCTCTCTCTCACTCTCTCTCTCTCTCTCTCACTCTCTATCTCTCTGTCTCTCTCTCGTTTTCTTGTAGTGCACGCGCGATAATGGAGTCTGCGGCGTGAGTGTGTGTAGTGCCGTCATATACCGTACCTCTATCTTACATTTAACGTCGAAACATTAAATCTCCAAGACGATAGGCAGTGTTTGAAAAATTCCTTTCACAACGAAACGCGTCCTTATTTGCCTTCCTGAGTTGAAAAATGTAATGCATTTCGGTTCGTCATATTTCCTATTATTAAAATTAATACGTTTTAAATTCAAGTTTGTCAAAATTTGAAATGCATTCCAAGCACATTCGAAAACAAACAAAAAATTGGTTTCGAAAAATAAGGAACTAAAAGAGCTGATTCTGGGGACGGATGTGCTACTGTTATAGGTGGGAAGATGAAAATGTAAGAACGATAAACCATTGTTAACAAAAAGTTATTCGTAGTGAAGTTTGGTTACATGCACGTTTTAAAAGGCTGTAATATTTACGATTTTCTTCAAAATTTGTTATTAAAACTAAAAAAAAAAATACACTCAATTTTTTTTATTTGTATAACATATAACTAAGATTCATAGAGCTCCTGTTAAATTTCCAATCATTTGTATTTGATCAAACAATTTTATCCACAAATGAGTACCTACAAAATAAAAATTACGTAAAACTCGCAAAAAAAAAAAAAAACGCTTAAAAATAGCCCTATTATTTTTTTAAATTTGATCACGTCAGACAAAGGCTAATATTAGTTTTTCCATATAAATGAATATTCTCTATTAGTATTTTTAACTGAATAACAAAATTTAAAATAATAAAATAATGACTATCGTAAATTGTCCAGTTCTTTCAACATTTATTCTTGGTTTCATTCAATTATTAAAAGAAACTACATTGTAAATCATAAAAAGGACTTTCTGTGTGAGCAACTAAATCCAAAATTCCTTGAAAAAGTTCTTAATGTCTTTTAATTTTTTGAGTAAAGTAATATTCCTAGTAAAAACATAGTTTCCGAAAATTAAAAACGTAAATCGGTTATGCTGTCACGGCCACAAATATTTGTCGTTTTGTCTTTAATTTCGTTTTTGGTTTTTCCCAAGCCATTTTGAATACTCATTGGTTAACCATACAATTAATTCTCTAATGTAAGATAAAATTTTCTTTCAGAAAAGGTACTTTGCATCGGAGCAATATTGTTTTTCGAAAGGTTGTCGATAGGAAAAATTACGAAATAAAAACTTGCATCGTTGTAAAACCAACAGATCCCTCGCTACGCTCCCAACACAAAATTACAGATTGCATAGATACATTTTTCTAGTAATTTAAAAAACTATATTATCTAATGTATTTCATAAGGTTTATTTTTTTTTTTTTTGAAATTCTAGAGTTTTCATTCACATTGTGACATAATAAGCTCTCATACCTTAAAGATATAAGTTTAATTAATCATATCTAATTTATTTATTATTCTTAACTACGGTTAACAGTTTTATTGTACATAATTGAACTTTCCCTGTTATTTGTTAATATCTGAGGTTTTTTTTATTAATTAATAGACCTATATATTCAATTTTAAAACTGACTTTTGACTTATAATGCATAAAAAATAAAATTAATGAATACACATTCACAATTTGTTTTGAATTAAATAAGTTTCTCTTGTGAATGCTTTCCAATAAATAAATAATTTCTATTATGTATTCGGTATTGACTGCTATAGTGATGCGAAATAAAGGAATATTTTGATTTTATGTCAATTAATTCGGTAAATAATGTTTGATGATACAAGGTTCAGGTTATATGGGTTCGCGGAAATAATACCCGACACCAAAATATAATCCACGGCATTTAGTACGGTACAAAAATACCTGGTTTCAAAAGTTCCGCTGACAAATGATGCGATGTATTTTTTATTAAATTTCATTCAGCCTTTGGATGTCACAAGGTAATTTATCAGGTTGTATACATTTAATCGGATTATATATCACCGAATATTTTAGATTATAAACGCATTGATTTGTAAATAGGTTTTAATATAGGCTATTTTTGTATTATATCTGTGTAAATTTTTTCTACCAGAAGTGTCGCTCTAGTTATTTAGTAACAGTTACAGTTTTTTTGAAGAATTCGTCATCCACTTGTGCGTTTATGATAGTCATTTTTTTTTTACTTTCTAAGTAGTTGTCACAACTAATTGGAAAAACCCGATAGAAAAACTGGAAAAATGTACGACAATTAAAGATCCATTATTTTCGATTTTTTTTATCAACAATTTTGAGTAGCATATTTTCTGTTTAATGTTATTTATCTTTAGTTTTAATTTTTTTTTCTATGAACAGTTTTTCTACCAGACATTTTTCTCTGATTTTCAAATGTAGCACTTCCTTAAAAAGAAATTGAATGTGTGTGGTACTTTAAGAAAATTGTGTTTTGATATTCCTAGGGGTTGTCATAATAAATAGGAAAGTTCGGGAAAAAATATAGGAAAATAGAAAAAATGTACGAAATGTAAAATTTTTACATCGTAAGTATTAGGGACTTTTAAAACATATTCAATCAAATTCCGCTCAGAATCGTTAGCAAAAATACATAGTTGCCTAAATATATACATTAAATTAACTTTCTAACTTCTTAACTTCTCAACAATAACACTGGACTACCCAGCTTGCAGAGTATGTCAGTTTGTTCAGTCTACAGTCAATACTCCGTACCTACTATCATACAATTTACTCTCTTCACACTTTTGTAGTACTTATCTTTAAGTTTCATTTAAATAATCTTGTCGCATAAAAAATCTGGAACTTCTTTCCACTTTATCAAGCCACACTTAGTTCTATGTGTTCACGTTTTTATAAATGTTACCGTTCTATTTGTAATTATTGTTTTATCTCAAATAATCCCCAGATAGATTTCGAAATTTTCATCTAGATAAGATAA